TAAAGCTTAATCCGAGCGATTCAGCGTGATTCCCGATCCGAATTGGTTTTTGGGATATCCGTTCAGGGTCACCGATCCGTTTTTTAAACCACTGATAAAAAGTAAGCACCTTGGCCATTATAAATCCATGACGTAAATAAAACTGGCCGGAACAAAATCTCAAATAAACGGTAAAATTTTTTTGAAGAGTACTACATGTAAATCTATATTTTATTTTATTTTGTTCATGTTCATGATCATCATAGTCTAGATTATGGATCCAAAAAATTTTGGATTAAAAAATCCATCTTTAAAATAGATTTAACATGGGGGGGCGTATGTGAACAAATGAGAGCAGACTGATAGAACCTCGCCCAAATATCACACATTCATAAGAGTTGACATCGGGCCAACCTTGAGGCTAACCCCTCCCTGGATCCTATAGGGATAACATGAACCTGGCTTGGCCTTAACAAGGCCACAGAGGGGCCGACTCGTGTGTGACCCAAGCAAGTTTGAGCTGGAGTGGGCCTAATACCCTCAAAGCTAGATAAAAACAAAAAAAAACAAAAAACAAAAAAAAGATCGGTTAGTCTGTCCTTGATGTGGACCTGGCCCGGGCTCGGGCCCTGCCCGGGTCTAACCTTTGGCCACATTTAGGGGCCCAACCCTAGTTTACTGGACCAGGCTGCTTGGCCCATTACTAGACCTAAACAAATATCCATGCTTTTGAGGTGTCTATCGACCTTGAAACATGACAAAAGCTTGCTTTTTTAATGGAAAAAAAAATGGACAATATGAAATACATAAAATCCAAGGTTTATTGGGAAATAATGATATGTAATAATATTGGTTAGTATGTCAGTCCTAGAGAAAAAAATATGACATTTTAATAAAAAAACAAATTGTAGGGCACCTTCTAGAAAATATAAGGTATAATGGACTTTACCATGGATGTAAAGTTATTTAGATTGCAATATATTAGAAATTTATGACTTTGTAATGGGTGTTGGCTATGAGCTCAAAGACCCAAACTAACCTGCTCGGCTTAGCGCTGAAAAGCTCGGGCTTGGGGCATAATATGTGTCCCCCGAGTTAGAACTTAGCAACCACTGCCTGGGTTTAAGGATGGGTCATTCTTAGGCCAGGGCCTAGTCTCCCCCAACCCCTTTTTTCTTCATTTTCTTCTTGCTAATTTTCTTTTCAATTTTTTGTTTTTCTCTCTAAAATGATGTTATATTTGTCGGTTGTTGGTTGCTGGTGAATTTTCAATCGTGTCATGTTGGTATTAGAGCATTGATTATTGTAGGATCCTGATGTTTGTCGATAAGGCATCATTGCTCATAGACTTGGTCAATGGCAACTACTGGGAATGAGGCCATCAAACGAGAACGAGACCTTCGAGATATTGAGATAGAAGACTTGAAAAGACAAGTGGTGGAGCAAAACCTAGCCTCGGCAAACTATGATGACAGCAGTGTCATATGCTTCTTTCGAGTATCTATACCAAACAGACAATCAATGTCGGGAGCCTCCCGTTCGGGAGAATAGATTGTAGGATTTCAACACTATAGTTGATATACCTAAGTTTGATGAATCTGGGCTGTTGCGCTTATACT